CGAAGCTAGTCGGGAAGGTGACTAAAGTCGTGTGTCTTAAATAAATATGTACTGCGTTAGTTAATTGTTCAGGCGATGTAAAAAGGGAGTCAGGTATTTAGTAAACATTTCTGAATTGGCTGTTTTAAGAAAGTTTGTCATTACGAAACCCTTATGAACTTCCCCTCCGGGATCTTGCTTGGCCCAAGTTCACTGTAACTGTGTGTCCATCGTAATTTCGACTTGGGTGTGGCTCTGTCTCTCTGTACTGTTTAAAACCGTGTGCATTTTTAAACTACATAGATAGTAAGCCTGCTCCATACTGTCTTAAGAATATTTGTAATGGATTCGTTGTATTCCTTACCAGCTTAAAGCACTTAAACCTCATTATTATTAGTTTCACTTGTAACTAAGTATGCAAAAAAAGTGTTGGAAGTCGATTTCCACGTACTTCTAACTGTCGTATGTCGGATCGAAATAAAACTTTCTGTAGATGAATTTTGAACTCATTTTTACTTTTAACTTTGTATTTTTATTTCTAATGCGTGTTTTTTGGCTATTTTCGGTTAGCATTCTTTTCTTTATTTTTCTTTTTCTTTTAAAAGACAACTCTCGCACTAGGAATATATCCTGTGTCACGGGGGACTTTACAAACATACATGGAAACGGACACAAAGAACACCCAGACTCAGAACAAGAATTTGAGGATCACACAAAGTGTTGTCCCGTGTGGGGACCCACAACACTCAGCGCAGTAGTAAGCGGCTAGGTGACTGCTTAAATCACTACGCCATCCGTGCAGTCAGCCACCATGCATGCACCATTCACCACGCTCGAGCTACGCTTTAGTCTCTAGTTTAAAGCAACTTAGCTTTAGCTTACCCAATTTTTCACCTACTCAATTTTATTATTTTGAGAAGCTGGAAAGAGTCGTAGGTAATCTATATATATATAAGAGATTTCCACGTATATGTCACTCATCACGATATCTCTGGAACCATTAGAGCTAAAGACTTAAAATTGTAGCAATATTCTTTTCACCGAGTAGAGGTCAGCTAAGAACAGATTTTAAGAAATTCAAAAAAATAAATAAAAATAAAATAATGTAAATAGCAAAACAACGTTTGCAGGGTCAGCTTGTCTTATAATAAAGGTTTTTTTACAACAATGTTAAGAATTTTAACATAACCAATTATTCAAAAATAAGTTTTTTTTCGATTATATTGACACGATCATCATATTATATTTTTGATATAACCTCGTTTCTTTTTGGAGGTAGGTTTTAGGTTTCATTTGCTTTGTAGACCAAGTCCTAGTTGTATTCATAATTATGTGTGTTCGCTAGAAGTATCTTAGACAGTTGACGATTGGTGTGTGATTAATTAGCCAATGACAAAATTTTAAACCACAGGCCTAAATTAAATGTAATTTGGGAATATAGCTTGTTGTATTATGCCCTACTGGTGACTTGACAATTTACACTTCTAGCTTTATCCATAACGAAGGTTCTCGTAATTATAGAATTAATGTAAAACGGTTTAGTTATTTATAAATCAGAATCTTTTGCCATATGGATGTACACAATATAATGAAACTGCTTACGTATACTTCTTTTTAACTCTCATTCTCACCTGTTGACAATAAAGTTTACTTTGCTTTCTTTAGAAACACTAAATTTAGATCCATTAATATCGAGATGTACATAATTATGTACATGGCGATATTGGTGGATCAAAATTTACCAAAAACATACATAATTACCTACATCGCATTAATGGTGGATCTAAATTTGGAAGATTTGCACATTGGGTGAAAAATCATTAAGTACATAAACAAAAAATATAAATATTTCAATACACGCGGTGACCAAAAGATTTACTGTACTGCCATGCTATAAATAACGTAAGTAGTTAAGTATAAAGAATTACATACATACATAACTTAGATATACATGTAACAAAGAAAAAATGCAGTCTTTGGAGGCACACAAAAGTTTTACGTGAAGGCAAACATTTGCGTGACTTGGTAGTGGAATATGTAGTATGGTATATTGTGATCGTAGTGGTTTCATGTAATAAATATTCCTGTGATCAAAACAACATAGTTTTTTTTGGCCTAGATTAGAGTCCACACTTTTTTGTGCTAATTGCCCCTTAATGTCACCCCAAACCAACTCAATAGGGTTCAGGTCTGGGTGATAAGGAGGCAAACGCAACACTTCATGCCCGTTTCTTTTTAATAACTCGTCAATTTGATAAATATCTTCAGTTTCTGTCTTTTTAATCAATTTTGATAGACGTCCCTTTTCAGCTTATCATCGAAAACCACGTCGTGTCGTCGTAATCATGTTTGCATAACTGCCTTGGTAGAAGCCATAGTCAGCTTTTTTTCTTCTCGAACCGAATGGTAAGCTGCGTTATCCATCACGATGACGGAGTTTGGTGGTATAAGCTTTTCATTTATCCATTTACTGAAATTCACGAAATTTATAGAATCGTGATAATCACCTGTTTTACATTTGGATTTAAATATCACAAGTGCTCCGTCTACAAATCCAGTTTGACTTCCACAATGTACGATGATCAAACGGTTCCCTTTTCCAATATGAGATAGTATGCCATGTACATTCTTAGATTGCCAGCATTTTGAAACGTTATGAGACTCATTTACATATGTTTCGTCAAGATATAAAATATGTTTTCCTTCTATACGATATTTTTTGATAGTCCTTAGGTATTTCCACCTCCACGATGTTATATTTGGCTGTTCAATAAGGAGTTTCCTTTTAGAACCGCATTTCTTAAATTTAAAACCTAGGTCATGTAACAACAGCCTTAAATATTCCCTTCCGCAGTGTAATATATTTTCTTCTCTAAGTACAGCATTCAACGTTTTCAGAGTAGGTATTTTTTTATCAATTGTACGAGTATAAAACTGAGTGACTTTTCTTCTTACCACTCCTTTTGTGAAATCGTCTATTTCTACTCTTTTTTTGCGAACCTGTTTTGATTTTTTCGGTGATTTGAATCTTTCGTTGTCTTTCAATAATTTCCATTGATGTACGAATTTAGATACAGTCTTTTCCGATAGTCCAGTAACTTTTGCTACGGTTTTGTTTAAATGCATGTCTTGTTGATATTCAACAGAATTTGGGTCCAGTTTCTTTTTTCTAAAATATTCGTACACGTTTAAAGCCATTTGCTTGCACTGACTATTCACTTTATGACCGAAGATCTTACGATTCATCTTGAGATTGTTATCACATGTGTATCTCTCACAAGGCGTCCGCAACAATTAACACGTGCGATCGCTGTCCGCGTTGCGATCGAAATGAGCGATTACAAAAATTCGCCCGCCGCCCGCACCTGTCTCAGTCCCCTTTGTCGTCATACCCCCTGTTACCGCGCAGGCGAGGACTCAGATAAACGGTCGGCCTATAGGCAGAGCCTGAGCTATGGTAACCAGACTTCTGATATAATAATTATATATCTCACACATCTCACACACGGCCGTCTGATCCCCAAAATAGGCAGAGCCTGTACTGTGGTAACTATACTGCTGATAAACATACTTATATACTTTTAAATACATTCAAATTATAGATAAATTACACACGTGCAAAGTGCAAACTACATTTTCTCTATTATAAACATTGTTAAGCATTTCCAGTTCTGTTTTTTAACCGTGTTTTAAGTGACTAATATTATGTTGTCAACTTAAAAAGAACTTTAACAATATCATTGTACTAATGTAAAACATTTAATAAATTCATTTGTAATTTGAAGAACACGAAACAAGAATTATTATCGGTACCGGAGCTATAATACAACGCTACTACAGGATGTATAAATGTGATGCTTCAATAATGTATTTGAGATTGCAGTGTAATATTTTATTTAAAAACTATCATTTGCCACGCAGTTTCACTTGCGTTATATATAATTATGAGAAAATGAGTTTTTCGTAAATTTTCGTGATTTTAATCATTATTCTGCTATTCGGGGTGCAGCCATTTTCAATAAATCAAAGATTGTTTAATACGGTCCAGCCGTTCTTGAGTTATAAATGGTATAACTATCCCGACTTTGCGTGATATATTAAGATTTAATATTTAAGACTAGCTGACCCGCGCAACTTCGTCTGCGTCTCTCAATAGTAATAAATTTTCTCAGTTTTTGAAACATTCTTCATTGGTGCTCCGCTCCTATTGGTCTTAGCGTGATGATATATAGCCTATAGCCTTCCTCGATAAATGGGCTCTCTAACACTGAAAGAATTTTTCAAATCGGACCAGTAGTTCCTGAGATTAGCGCGTTCAAACAAACAAACAAACAAACAAACAAACAAACTCTTCAGCTTTATAATATTAGTATAGATTTAATATTTTGGATACTAGTCATTGTCTATTGCTTTACTCTATACTGCAACAATAAGGTAGTCTCTCTCAAAGATAGTTTCGCAAATTAGATTGTAGTCACTGAGATAAGGTATTTTGAAATGTGTGTGTTGTGAGCGTTATAATAAACGGGTTTTGTAGTAGGTATAATAATATGATGTAATAAAACTTTCTAGTGACGTAGCAAAACAGCTCATCGTTATCGTTGCTCTTTCGTACCATTAAATGATTACTATTATGCAATTAAACTTCATTAATTCATATTATCAGTGTTAAGGGCAATAGATATTCCCGGGTCATGTGAGGACATATTTATTTATAATAAAGCCTTTTGTAATCACTTTCATAACAGTAAAACTGAAACTTTTTAACAACGCAGTTTACAATTTCAAAAGGCTTCATATCCAGCCATTCTTTTATCTAATTAGCTTATTGTTCATTATTTTTACACATTTACCTACAACATGGACTGCAAAACAATAGTTTGATATACAGATCTCGTTTAGAGAAAGACGGCGCGTCTGGCGTCGAGCGGTTATTTCAGACAATTGCTATTAAATGAGGGCGCTCATGTAGAGACCTTATGTTTTCTTGTCGAAACTTACTTTGATCTTACTTGTGTTAGCTGAGGAAGCGATGGCCGGAACCGGCGTTGGGAATGATACGAACACGCCCGATGAGTTGGCTGGGCTGACACCTGAGCAGGCTGAACAGCTCCGTTCTGAATGGAGCCGCGAGCTGGCCCATGTTGAAGACGAGATCGCTACTCTGCGCACTGTTTTGCAAAGCAAGGTATGTCACATATTTTTTCGCCGTACATAAGTATTCGGTATGCATATAATATCAGATATATTATTTCTGTACTTGCCAATCCGGCAAAATGGAGTAGGTACCTACCGTTAAACTCATTACAAGAGTAACGTCTGCCTTCATAAACCTTCTCTTTATCATTTCTTACTTTACCATTTTACCGATAATTAAAGTTCAAACAAAGATGTAATCAATTTGCGTTACTATATTTACAGTTTAAAAAATAGGACAAATGTGTATTTCCGCTAACGTTTGCCTTAGGCTTTTTTTACTTTGGTAGTGAAATAAAGATTATCTTGATAGCAAGTATGCCGCTATCGCTATGGCTATTATACCATGCCCATACTATTACTTCTCTTTGATAATTCGAAAGTAGTCAATAGGGAATGTGCATGTTTTTTTTAAATTATTTTAAATGATTCAACTAGTTATTAGATTATCAAAAATAAATATAACGCATCCAAAATGTAAACCATTAAGCAAAAAAATATATATTAAAATTACTATCATTTTGGGGTGATTTAAAGCAGGGTTCGGAAACCTGGTTAATTTTATTATCCAGCTCATCAGAAACGCCATACATTTCAAAGTGAGCATTTTGATTTCGATTCAGTTCCAATAGAATCAATATTATTTCGGTTCTGATCAAAGAGCAAAATAAAACTATTCTTACTGGTTAATTTCACTCCCTATTTTGCTGGCCGTACATAAAAACTTATTATAAATATTGTGCCGTTCCTTTGTGCCCAAATAATATCAAAACTGCACCTGAAAAAGTATATTTCCTTATGCCGAAAGATGCAGGTACGAGAAAAAAGTGGTGTAAGGCGATGAAAAGAGACTATGAGTTATTGCCTCATGCATGCATTGACCATCACTTGATTCCTGTAGTGGTGAAGTAATAATAATAGCTTTTGGATTAATAAATGTTAATAAAAAAGTAATTTATTAAATAAAAATGTGTTTTATTTGTACTACAATGGGAAAATAACATTAGACCAAAATAGTGTGCATTTGTTTAAAATATCTGCACGGAATTCTTTTTCATATTTCACTTCTATTATATTTATATGTGTACTAGTCTCAAAATCACACAGAAGATTGCTTTACTTTTATTTATAAAAATGAATTTGAAGCTGCACTCGCTTTATATTTTAAAGATACTTGGTTGTCTTTAATATATTGACTTATTGTTTTGTCTGTTGAAGGGCATTTCACTTCTATGACATATTCTTCAGTTACTTCCACAGGCGAAGCTCCCCTAAGAGGGTATTTAGAGTGAAATTTCAAGCCACACTTTTTTATTTTCATTTCTTTTAGTAATTCAACCCTTGATTTTCCAGAAATTGACCTCTTTTCATTGCTTATGTGTCTTTTAACTTTATTGCTCCCATTAGTGATTCAGTTAAAGCACCTTGTATTGTTTTACACTGGGCTGCTTCATGAGCTATTGAAGCAGTTATACTAGCATATCAAGTTCATACCACAGAGGACAGTCATAGTCTTTGATTGATAGTTGCAAGTGCAGCTTTCTCGCATGAGCTCATATCCACGTTCTTTTCACAAAATTCTATAAATTCTTGAGCATTTGATGGCTTGCTCTACCGGGCAGGAGGATGCCTCCTACTCCTTAAATAATGGACTGACAATATTTCCAATGAGTTTGGTTCTTTGAAAAATTTCATAAGTTGATTGTTGTTGATTGTCATTCACACTGTGATTGTAATTTTTCAATATAGACAGAAAACTTGCACTTTGCGGATAATTTGGCTCAATATTTCTCTTCTGAGATTAAGTAATCGCCTTAGCTTTTATATACTGTAAGTTTGTGCCAACAGTAGATAGCTTAGCTTTTTTCCAATAGTATTCCACACTTGTGGACGGTTGATCTTTAGTTCGTCTGTGAAGCCATACTAAGAAAGCACCGCACAGCCACCTAAAACAAAATAATCTTGGTTATTCTAAATGATCAAATTAACTGCATCATGATACATGCTATCCTATGTTGACAAATAGTTATCTACATAAACATATAAGATTGTTTCTGTTACTTAATCAGATTCAAATCACTGTTTATAACAATTACTTACCTACATGTGCTGCACAATCTTCACATTGCATAGACAGAATATGTCTCTCAGTCTCATTGCAAGTAGTTTTGATGGACTTTATGCTCTGGTGTTATTTACCCCTTACGACGCATATATCTTTCTCTCGTTTTACTTGCACATATCCAATGGCTGAATCCCCATATGATTCTCGTTCAAATCTGTCACAAAAATTATAAAATTAGCTGCGTATTTTAGGTTATGTTTATGTTATATTTACAAAACCATGAAAACGATCATTAAATAAATATATATTATATTACTCATTTACCTCGCAGCTTTTACTCCTCTGAGTTCAGAGGTAAAATCTGAATTAGATACGAAATAAGTGCTCATCATAAACAAGTCTATTTTAGGAAGATTATCTGATTGTGCTTTGACAAAACCGGTTTCAGTCATGGTATTGAATATTTCTACACAAGAATTTAATAATATAACACAGAAAACTTATTAGTTATTAACCATATAACAAACAATACAAATAATCACCAGAAACCATACAAACAACTTGTTGACCCTGTTGACAGTGAAATTTGACGTCATGTTTTGTTCCATCAATAGCGTTGCGTTTTAGGAATTTGAGAGGGAATAAAACAAAAATCGAAAACAATTGGTATCTTTAGGTATCTTTTAGCAATAAAGTTTACAAATAAAAATATTTTGATCATTTTGGAGTCACGTGCATATTCCCTATTAGTGACGACCTAATATGTTTCTGATTTGATAACAAACATTTTATTTAACAGGAGCTTCCTGTAAATAATTTGTACATAGTGATTCATTTTAAAATTATATTAATATTAAATCGATGTCTAGCTATTCTCTGTCCATTCATTTATATTCTTTTTAACAGTCGGTTGAGAAGACGCACAGTATAAAAGGTATTTACCTACAATTTAAACATTAGGTTTAAATTCAATTATACTATCTATGCGACATTACGATACTGTACGAGCACATGTATTTGTAATAAAAAACACAAAGTTTTTGAAATTTCACTTGACATTAAACATTAATAAGCAAAAAACCTGATTAATATAATTTACATCTTTCATGTTCGGTAAGTAGGTTCCTATTACCTCCAAATGGGGCTTGTAAGTGACTAATTAGCGCTCTAGGGTAATAATGTAGCTAGAAAAGCACTAGGGCGGTAAGTAATTACTGACCGCCCTAGTGCTAAGAAGTGTTTTTTTTTTATTATAATTAAAAAAAAACACTTCTTTCTTTCAAAAAGTTCGCGTACATCTAACCATCATACTGGCAATAGACATCATGCATTCAGCCCAATGACCAAAGAGGTCGCTTTGCTATTCAGCCTTGTCTTCGTGTGAGTATAATAGTCATCAATTTTAAATATCGAACGGCGAAGCTCAATTTCGATCTTGAAAAAAAACATAAAAAATTCTTTACTTGATTCTTTTTAATGAAAAAAGGCGGGAATAGAATACTTTTACTTTAAAAATTGTTTGTTTTTTGGATTATTTTATAATAACGTGTTAATTAAGAAAAAACACGAGTTCTTCAAGTGATGAAAATCCCAAAAAGCAGCTGTCCTTAAAATTTGAAAATTGTTCTCATTTCACTATAAATTTCAACAAATAAAATGTTTTATTCTTGTAATGCCGTTTTTTTTCTACTTACCTCACAATCGAGATGTAAATCAGAATAGTTAGCTCGGGTGTAAGCATCAATTGCACCCTCAAACTATAGGGCGCACCAGCGCAGGGCTGCAATTGATGCCTTACAACCTTTGGCTACTAATCTACTAGGTATTATAATACGGACTCAGTATATATACTTAGCCTGTAAGCGATGAAAAAGGGCTCACTGTCATTTATAGCATATGAATATTATATAATTATATAATATACTGTGCGTCTTCTCAACCAACTGTTAAAAAGAAAATAAATGAATGGACAGAGCTATGAATAGCTAGACATCGTTTTATGTATGAAATACATAAATATTAAAATGAATTACTATGTATAAATTAGTTAAATCTTTTGCGACTAAGGCTTTGCCGTTATCGTTATAAGTTCGGATGATGCAGAGACGAGAATAATATTTTTTCTATACTTACTTACAGATTCGCCAAAGTTCCGAATTAAAACGAAAACTTGGCATAACTGTTTGGAAAGAAATCACTGAAGATGTCAATCAGGGTTTAAAAAATGTTAAAGAAAGCTCAGTGTGAGTATCTACGGATCATATACAATATTACATGCATTTGTTTTTCATACCATTAAGTTTTAGACTTTTCTCGAGGGTTAGAACAAAAATGCTAAATATAGGTAGTGGTGTTTGGATTAGCTTTTTGTTATTTGCTTCAGCTTTATAAAATCTGCAAGGTGGCGTTTTATTTAGTTACCTTTGAGTTCACGTTTGGTTTGTTATACTACAGCTATCAAACTATAGAAACTCGCGTGGCTGCGCTTACACAGGCTGTGACTGAAGCACCAATGTAAGTAAACGTAAGCATTGTGATATAGCTTTGATAATACACAAAGTAATGTGCATGCTATGTAGACTCACTTATTCACTTGAATCCGAAGCTTTGTTGAAAATTGAGTTAAATTTATTACATCTCTATTCTGCGATCAAATATACCATAGATACGCGTGCCCTAATTAAAATAGTACGTACGCACACACACTTTACGTGTAAGCATTTAATAAGCCATCCCATGAATGCCCCTGTAAATGTCGCGTCATATCACTCCTGCTCTTATGGCCAGAAAATGAAAATAATATTTCTATTATATATATATATATAAATCTGTTTGAGATGTTAAAATTTTACATACACTCAATTAAAAGAGAGAAAAAAGAGAAAAAAGTATTATAGGTATGTCTTCTACTAAAAGTCTTAAAATAAATTACGCAAATTGTTATTGTTGATATTGTTGAGTACTACAAAATTCCTTTAGCGATTTGAAAAGAGCAATATTTGAAAGGATTTTTTTAATTATAACTAAATACACTCGTTCAAGTCACCTTTCTCAAACTCAGTCACTTAGAAGCTGTAAAAGTCGTTTTACAACAGCGAGGCGAGGCGTGGATGGGCCGAGCGAGAATTGAAATTTGTATGGTAAAATTTCTATCCACGCCCTTTCACCATCCTATCTTTGGTGTAAAATGTGAAAGTAAATATGTTGTTAGATGGTGTTACTATTAATACTGAAAAAGAATAATACCTATACTTTAAATTTAGATTAAAAAGAACGGAATGGCTCTCTCCATAAAACGTAGGGAGCGTAATACCACGGCTGGCCGACGCGTAATAGCGCGAGCCGGCGCGAGGTAGCGATGGCCAGAACGTGCCAGCGCTGGACGTCAATCGGTGTAAAAGGGTAGGCGTGATTTCAATTCACGCCTACCATACCATACCTACATACCATCCACGCCTCGATAAAACCACCTTAATGCCACGGACAGACAAATGCAGACGTAAACATTTCATCAGTCCTTTTGCGTCAGGGGACATATAATACCGAATCAATGTGTGTTCTAGAACAGGGTCTAAAAACAACTGGGCTAGATACCTATTTCAAAATAATAACAGTTGTTTTTTGTACTTAAGAGTATAGTTTTGTATAGAAGCCTTAATGAGTCAGGGTAAACTAGATAAAGCGTATGGTTTAATAAAGCAATTAGATAACAAACCTACATCGAAAAGTACAGCAAATATTAATTAATGGTAAAGACATAGCTGAACTTTGGAAAAGGTGTACCTTTAGAAGGTTTGTATGGAGGTCAAGGAATAAAGGAAGGTGAAATAGAAAATGAAGAACTTGTAGTGAAAGACAAATTAGGGCCTGTAATATTAAAAGAAGAATTTCTTAAAGCTCTGAACTCTATATACAACTGAAAAGCTCTTGGGGATGATCACTTATAAAACTTATTAAATACGCTGAGTGTGATCCACTGTTAGACGAGATCTACTACCTGATCGAGAAAATGTACGAAATAGGAACTGTGCCGCAAGATTTGGGGCTTAGTAGAACAGTTATCTTACTGAAAAAACAAAACACCCTTAAATGTGAAGAACACCGAAACCCTTAGTTTAGTTTCTCGAGGTACAGGATAAAGGTACAAGAGAAGCTATACTAGCCCTACGGTTAATTATGGCGTTACAGGCGTATGGATTTAAGTCTTTCAACATTATAGCCTTTATTGATCTAGAGAAGGTATTCGATAGGGAAAACTGGACAAAAATCATGGACATTCTAAAAGGAGCCGGCGTGAACTATAGAGACAGGCAAATAATTTATGAATTATATAGAAACCAGCAAACAATAATAGACTTGGGAGGTGAGAAACAATCAGTAACTATTAAGCAAGGAAAAAGACAGGGGTAGCCCTCTGTTACCCTTAATTTTTTATATTTTTATCAATTATACCATAAGGAAAATAGTAGAATCGGGGTAAAGGAGGGGTTAAATTTATTAGGGAGAGCATACGCTTTATCAGATTTGCAGATAATATCGCAGCAATAGCTGACAACACACACAATTTAGAACAACTTCTAATTGTTGAATGCCATTGAAAACAGAAGAGGCAGAATGGTTGGCCACCTGATAAGACAAGACGACTTTTTCAGAATAATACTGATATTACAAAAAGAAGGCAAGAGAAAACGTAGACGGCCTAGATTAACATACATACAGGTAAATTAGCTTGGAGAAATTTTTGCGTTTGTAGTAGTGTATGGTTGTGCGTGTTTCCACTTTCCACTATCAAGTGACGATTTTTTGCTTTAGATTGAAATATCTCAGAAACGGTGCGTCCTAGGCCAAAAATAACAAAAATTTTGACCCCCCCGTGGACCTCTCGGAGTTTTAAAAACCTAGATGAAAGAATAAAAAAAAAAAAATTTAAATATCGGTCTCTCCTCTTTGAAGTTTCACTTCTATCGTGTGTGAATCGCACACACACCTTTTTTTTTTATAAAGTCAAAACCTTTTTCTTTAAAATAAAAACTTGTTTTTATTGAAAACAAAAATCAGTGTTGCTAGGGATAAGTATAAAATTAAATAGTAATGTTAGGATATCGAAACATTTTTGTATAGGCCAGAACGATATAGTGGAAACGCGCTCTAAGATCTGAGTAATATACACACCACTACATATGCAAAAATTTCTCGAGACTAATTTCACTGTACAGCAAGTGAAGGAGAGACATCACGTCACCTGGCTCAAAACTTTAATAGCAACGATTCAGCATTCAGCTTTTGTTGGTGCCGTTTTTGAGGGCTAATCAAACATCCATGGTATAATATATGATCTAAAATTTTAACACTTATTTGATATCTTATCTTTGACATGCAGTTCTAACCCAAAAGAGAAAATAGCTTGTTAGGAACATATGTATATATGCTTGATATTTGTGAATATTTGATTATATTGATATACGTACCAATCTACTACTTACTGCCAAAATATTTACATTACATGTAGAAGTATAAGAAGATAATATAATCACAACATGAAAGTTTCTGCTCTAGTTACGGTTATTTTAAATTTTAATTTATTATAAAATAACATTGTGTATACATTTATATAATTAATTACTGTATAACGTACTTGTGATAAACAACGTGTTTTTGTACCTACTATGCATAATCCTAATAACTTATAATATATTTTGGGTACAAGACATATAAACTTATGATGATACTTAATCAAAGTAATGTCTATTTTGAACAAAAAAGTTATTTCATGATAAGACGTCACTTGCTTTGTTGCTAGTACAATCCCTAAATAAGTCTACATAATACGTATATATAGTTCATTTGCCCGAATGGATTGATTTTATAAAGAGTGATTCATAAGAACAAATACATAGGTACCACTTCTTATCAAGCGATTCTGAGCCTTGTTTGTCACCTCAGCGGTATGAAAATTGTATACCACTTACTGTTTGATAGACGTAGTGTTGCTTTCTTTACAGATCTTTAAAATATAGTCTAGTTAAATAAAATTTAGTCGTCTAGTTTTTGATGTCACATTTCACAAGTTTTTGACGAGAGTTAAAACTCAAATTATATTAAGTATTATCGTAACATTTTATCTGCAGTATTATATTATTATTATACCTCTACACGTAGTATACTAGTATACATTCAGTCAAAAAAGTATCGGGAATGGATGATTTGTTTATTGGCTCCAAATTCAAATTTTTGTTATTTTTTGTTGTTTTTAGATTAGCACAACTGTTTTCCATTTTGGCGCGGAGTTTGAGTTGCATCTGTTATTTGTATTAAATACAGTGTTGTTTTTAGTTATATCATATCTAGTGTGTATTGCGAATTTCATAACAAAGATTTTGTCTTAAATTTTGTATCGCCAATGAAATTTCGTGTTCGGAGTCACTGAAAATGTTACAGAAGGCTTACGGTGAATCGACTTTATCAAAAATACGTGCTTATTTATGAGTGGTACAAAGCGTTCAAATGATGAAAGATTTGCCTCGCTCTGGTAGGCCATCAAACTCTGCAACTGAAGTTAACATCGCAAAAATGAAGGAAATAGTGACTGAAAATCCTCATTCAACTATGAGAGAGATAGCCGCCGCACTTTCTGTATCTCACGATCCGTACCATTTTAACTAGTCCCAAAAGACCTGAATTTTCTCAATCGCATGAGAGTCGCTGAGGACAAGCTAGAACGAGTCAATTCCGACCCAACATTCATGAAACGCATTGTTACTGGTGACGAGACGTGGGTTTACGAGTTTGACCGACAACTAAACCGAAACCGAAAAGACCACACCAAAGTCGATCAAAAGTCAAAGTCATGTTGACTGTTTTCTTTAACTATCGCGGTGTTGTGCCCTCGGAATTCTTGCCGGAAGGTCAAACGGTAAATACAGAATATTATTTGAGCTTATGCGGCATTTAAGAGAGCAAATTCGACGAAAAAGGCCAGATTTATGGATTCTTGGATTTTGCACGACGATAATGCGCCTTCGCACAAGGCCATCATTGTGAACGAATTTTTGACCAAATACTCAACAAATACCATCGAGCACCCACCATATTCACCAGATATGGCTCCAGCCGACTTCTTTCTTTTTCAAACTCAAATTACCAATTCGTGGCACCCATTTTCAATCGGTAGAAGACATAAAGGAGAATTCGCGACGAGAACTGAACTCAATTCTGGAAACAGCGTTTAAAAAATATTTTGATGATTGGATTATTCGTTGGCGTAAGTGTATCGTTTCTGAAGGAGCATATTTTGAAGGTGATAAAATAAATTTGGATGAATAACAAACATTTTGTGTATTATTGATCTTTTCCCTGTACTTTCTTGACAGAGTAGTATTATGCATCAAATTTCACAATTACAGGCCTTTTGCTATCAATTATTTGCAATCTATCGAGGAATATAATATAACATTTTAACACATTATAATAAAAGAAATCTTGTATGTATATCCGTAGATACCAAAAAACTGAATCTGTGATAAAATCGACTGCGGAGAAGACAACCTCAATACTTGGTGGCATCACTGCCGGAATGTCGAGCAAGATAGGCCAGATGCGAAACTCCGATTCATTCCGGTCCATCGAAGAACGCGTTGGCTCTGCATATGAAAATGTTAAGGTATTGTTACATATATCCCATATCTTAAGTTTAAGTTTTTTTACAAAATTTATAGCTTTTCTTCTTCTCACTTATGTATCATATACTGGTATTGACCTATACCGTTATTAGTCCAGTGGATGGCGATAAAAATAAGGTGCAACCTCCCAATTTTATCAAAAGCTACTGTGAAAACTACCCCTAATTGATAAATTTAGGCATTTAACGAATGAAATAATGTATATAGCTTTTGATTAAAGATAGTTTTATAGTTTGAAACACATTTGTAAGTTTTCAACTCCTAATTTGTTTTTTATACCATTTTAAAACACTCCTATTGCCATAAAATTAAAAAGAGTAGTTGTGTATTTAAATCGGATACTTAATCTGCAACTTAAGACAATTGTTAAAATAAGTTTTCACCCCTAAATAATATCATCATCACTATCTATGTCTTCTTCATCGTCTTGGTCTGTAATTGGAGCGCTATTCTGACAGTTTTGACCAGAAAATCCACCACAAGTTACGTTGCAGAAAAGTCCAACTTTTCTACAGCTACAAGAGGCACCACACCCCTTTTTTGCAATTGCAGAATATCATTTTAAAAAGTTCTTGTGGTGCTTGAGTATTCTGCAATACTGTAGGTTTTAAGGACCCTTCAATTTTTGTCCATCCCCAATTGTCGTCGTCCCGATGACATCTTTATTTTTAAAATTAAAAAATAAATTAGGCCTTTACCTTTGACAAAGCAATGAGCGCTATGGTATAAACATTATTCTAACCCGTAACTTGCAAATGTTCTTAGAACTCCGTTTTGTATAAAGCGATATGGAATCTCCCTGCATATCTAGAAAAAAATCTACCCGTATAAGTGAAAAATAAGGAATGAGAAAATAGTTTAGTTATATTATTTTAAAAGTTTATTATTATAAATAAGTAAGGCGATATGGCGTGGCTGTGGACTCGATAAGCTTAATGGTTTGAACTATTAATTAATTTATTTAAGTGTTTACACAATTGGTTCTGTTGCCTAGGCTCAAAGGTCGAAACGCACATTTTTCAACTTGGGCTTGTTTCATGAAACTAATGTCTTAGATATATTGAACATAGCCTGAACGGCATGGCATGGATTAAAGGCGTCTGACATCTAAATATGAACGTTACGCATCACTCTTCTAAAGTAGGCACTTTAGTTTTAGTTGGCACTTGTTTCTTTTTGAAATGAATCGGATGGTAGTTTTTAAATCTCAACACTTACAAGATTTTTATGCCATATATGTCACTTACCAATAAGCACATATACATAGTTTGCCATGAATCGGTTTTCGTAATGGCCTGATTGTGTAGCGATGCATATTCACGAGATATCTCGTAAATTTTACTACCAAATGGGAGTTGCTCAATTGGAAAAGTATCCAAGCAGTAAAGCAGTACCTAACCTTTTTACTTGTAACCGTATGGTCGTCAGTATAGCCAAGTAATCAAAAGTACTTAAACTTTTTTTGCCGGCTTTTTTTTAGAATAATACTTGTAATACTACGACATATTTTGTCGTGTTGTCGTGACAAGTTAACTATAAAAATATGATGTTTAGCTGATATACTAGTATCAGTATTTGTGTACTTTAAAAATAAACGTAGCAACATAGCCGAATAAAATGCCAACGATAGAAGATTAAAGGCATAGATAAAACGCACGATAAAGAAATTTTATAGGCCAGACTTGCCTATGTAACTAATCTATCAGGTTTTCGTTGATTATTATCTTTGGTAACTCAACACGTAAGTAATAATAATCTAATATTCAACTCGCACACAATTTTGGGATCCGTCCGCACAACGCTATTTCACCGCGAGGTTTTTATTCGCGCGGAAACAAATCGACACCGCATCGCGTTCAATTTGCATCAAATCAGGTTTTTTTTCGCAAATTTTTTTCCGCTCGTGCATATAGTCCTGCATAAATCCCATGTCACAGAATTGTGCGAAAAAAAAGTGCGGTGAAATATCACTGTCCGGACGGTTCCTTAGACACTTAATTAATCAAATATGAACAGGTAATGGATATAATCATATGGAACGAACTGTACGTCTTTTTCCTTATAGTATTGTAGAAGAAATTTGCCGTTGTATCAATATTAATTAATATCTATACATTATATTTAAAATGATATGCAAATTACCTAGAAAGAAAGTATAACTTAGTTCAATGCGCCCCACATCCACAATTATAAAATTCACCATTGTATTAAACTACATTTTGCACAGGGATTAAGATATTTTTGCTTTAAATTTGAATGGGACCATACGACAAGTACAGACAATCAAATGAAAATGATTTTTCTAAATCGCATTATCATAAATGACGGAGTTCTAAGGTAACAAATATAAAAAACCAACTGAACACCTCGTCCTATTTTGTCGGTCTATTAAAACGGGTTAAAATTATATCCAGCCGCTCTATCTAACTGATTTGCTTAATTCTTTAATTATGCAAGATATTGATGCAGCTTTGTTATCAAGCATTGAAAATCACACCTAGTTTCCACTGCTACTTCCACACCTACTTCCTACTTTTATACTTAAATACGATTTCGTTCTGTAAATTTACATAATATTATGTTTTTCTATAGCTTTTTAGTCTATTTTACAGGTTTTAATTGAGGTGTATACGCAATTCCTGAACGAGCCTTCCGTTGTAGTTTAGGAGATGTCGAGGGTGAACATTAAAATTCATTTTCAATATTCATTATAAATTATAGATAATTCTCTGTTCTATCAGGTTTATACTTTTTCACTTATAAAAGTGCTTCCATCCCAAGTATAAAACATGTGATATATTTTCATATATGTAAATTTTTGAATCTTATTTATTTCAGGGTAAGGTGTCGTCCAGATCGAACTCAACGCAGAGCTTCGACGAGGCACTGCGCGACGCCAGCCGTGCGGCGAGCGGCGCCACGTCCCCGATCATCCCCGAGAACAAGCCTCTGTCCTAATCGAGCTGCACATACGCATACATGCCCACGCCGCGACCTAAACCAACTCCGCTAGACACACCACACAGATCGACCCCAATATGTGCCGCATTCGTGAAACAGGCACTCGAGACTGACTGTAGTGGTTTAAGCTGTCACCTCGCCGCTTTCCACTGCGCTGAGTGTTGTGGCTTCGATCCCCATATGGAACAACACTTTGTGTGATCCACAAATTGTTGTTCTGAGTCTGGGGTGTCCGTTTCATGTATGTTTGTAAAGTCCCTCGCGACACAGGATGTATATCTAGTGCGGGAGTTGTCTTTTTTAAGCAAATTGATTCTAGCGAAAAGCATTACAGTCGCTCGCCACTATACTCGGCCTTACTATTTATTCTATGTAGGTGACACGTTTACCTAGGACTCGACTCGATCGTATACAGTAAATGGTTCACATACAACATGAAAATGCGAGTCCTACAGCCCCCAGTGGTAGTTGAAGACGTCGAAGTTGATTTGTGTGTTGACTCGCCGAACTTACGGCACCTCAGCACTAACGAGTTCATATGACAAATATTGTAATAAGTATTTGTAATGCACCCGTAAATGATATGAACACCATTTTACATGTGCTATTAGATAGTATTTTAAATTGTGTACTTATATTGAATTTTCAATGTATTGTTGCTTTGTGTACTGATGTGTCGAGGTGATACCAATATCTTAAAGCATGTTGTTAAAGTACTATTCACTGTCTTATTGTTTTGAGATTTCTGCTTTACACTGTCTCTTTTCGAGCTGCATTGTTGCGTACTCGGTACAATGTCGCAAGCTTGACTCGATCAGTAATTTCTATTTTAGGAAGTGTTATACGATTTTTCTAGCAGAAAAGTCTCACTAGCACTTGTTTTCTAAAACCAGTTCCGAGTAATGTAACATATTACATGTGATATAATCACATGCTACATTACTCATTACAGTCATGTTACATTGCTCAGAACTTGCAATAGTTGGTGCCGTATGGGTTTTGTTCTACGGTTATGTGTTTATTAGAGTTTTTTAATTAAAGGAACAAAGCGCGTGGGTTACAGTATTAATTTTATGAGCAACATCTAGACGTGTAAAACAACGTTATATAGATTACTGTGTATCGTGTTTATCATTTATAGTAATTTGCGGCGTGGTTGTTTTAAAAATCATTTTACCTATGCTGTTCAAATGCTTCATATTTCAATTCTTTTTTTGTGTCTTATATGTTATTTCCTTTCAAAACAATCATATTTATATTGTTTCAGAGCCGTTAAACGTATATCTCATGTTAAATACATTCATGTTGTAACGCGTTCAAATAAATTAGTAAAATCTTGTTAAGAGTGTGTAACGAACCAATATAAGACACAGTAACTTGCCGATGCCTATTTAGGTCCATTACTATTATGAAATGATATTTTTATAAGATGCTTAGCTTTCCTTACTTACGAAAGTAAACTATTTACAATACATATGAAGACGGTAAATAAATTTTATGTATTGATTTGATTATTTTTATTTCACAATTGTCCCAAAGAATCGACACAAACTTCACTGGTTTCGAATTACTATCTAATGTACCTGAATTTCCAACTTTAGTAAAGATTTTACTCAAAATTCAAAGTTCCAGACCAATTTTAAAGAATAAAACCGGTCAAGTGAGAGTTGAACTCGTGCGCCGAGGGTTCCGTACTTGTATGTACCAAAATTAAATTGATTTTTTCTTTATTTGTGCTGTAGGATCTTGCTTTATTCCACATTTTGTGATTCTAGGTCAACGGAATCTACCATATAGGTTTTCCATCCAAAACTTATAGGCTACTTCCGGTTGACCTAGAATTGTGGTTAAAAGCAAGGTCTTACAGCACAAGTAAAGGGAAAATTCCAGTAAATAAAAAAGTTAAAGTTTAAGGTATATTTTGGTACTTACAAATCTTTGCGAAAATCTAAATTTGCCCATATTTATCGTGTTGACTCAGGACCTTGGTTTTTTACACCTAATAGGGGCTATAGACCTCGGTATCTGGTATATATTTCAACTTGCTAGGTCCACCCGTTCCTGAGAAAATCGGTGGTGACACACGGACAGACAGACCGATCTCTTGTCCGTCTACAAGAGAGTGATCTTATAAAGGTTCCTTTTTTACCTTTTGAGGTACGGAACCCTAAAAAACAACAATTTGAGCTCCATTTTTTTTTATGCCTTTTCAAGGAACTACCATACGAATTGATTTTCAGAAAGTAAAAAAGTCATCTAATTTTTTGTTTAGTGACTGCCATTACCCCCTCTTCCCCAACACCTTGTTGACTCTGTTTCGTATAGTCAAAGAAAAGTTATATGTTCCAATAAAAATCTAAATGTGACTATAAAATCCCAGTAATAAATGCCATACAAGCGATATATCCAAATGCAAAAATTTGCTCTTGTTATCGGCACTGTAATGCCGCCAATTGAAGGTAGTCGAATAAATTGAACTTGAGCTTATCATCTCAAGGGAAGATCATGACAAGAATGTGCGCAATTATACTTATGCTGCAAGCTGATAGAAGTCGTACACGACGTACTAGACACCAGATATTTAAACATTTTGTATGTCAGGTATAACATGACGGTAGGCACAAACAGTGCCTACCGTGATCTTATTACGTTTAGCCTTAGTAAGTTTTAGATTTAGTATTAATAATTCTCTATAATCAAATAATTATATAAAGACAGTATTATATTATAAATAAAACACAGTAAATAATCAGAGGAATCATTGGGCAAAGTACTAAATGAAAAGCCATTGTTTAGGGTAGAACATACTTTAATTAAATAGTTACCTATCGTAAATATGAACGCAGATTGGGCGTCTAGTTTACAATAATTAACAAACAGCGACGTTTAATCGTAAGTTTTCAAGAGTATTACCCTGCACGAAGAAATTTGAATCTATTTCATATCATCTATGTAAATCGAAACCCTACTTGAAAGTCACAGGATTAAAATAATGCTAACGAAATTATATGTGAATACAACGTGGTCCTTTATATAAAATAACTAACAACTAGATATGTCCTCAAAACAAACACAATTTGGTGTTAACAATAATATGCCCACTTAATTTTTTAATGTAGCTTGTAATGAAGCACGAACAAAGTCTTGATCGAGACTGTGTCACGTAAGTACACATTTGTTAGTTCTGAATACAGTTTTAAAGCTTTGTTCGTACTTCGCTCATACATATAACTAAACTGATATAAGAGACAAAAAAATTGAGATGTAAGTTTATGAAACATGTAAAAAACTTAAATCTAAGGGGTGGGGAAACAATCTTTACACTATTTGGGAATGATATGGGGTTACTAATGTCGCTATATTGCATTACTAAGTATTAGCGTACAAATCTACTCTAATAAATATTACCGTTATGTATATTATCCGCGATGCTGTTAAGTGGTTAAGAGTTGATCCAGTGATTGCTTACAAGTCCACTTGTTTACATCTAAGTATATCTTATAATAAATATATTTTATTACAAAAACTTCATTACTTAGTTTGTGCTAGCATGCCATAAAAATATGTAAAAGAATATATGTTGATTAAATTGGACGTACTATTGCGTATGTATACGCGTACACCCGGTACTTGGTGTATTTAGTGCACTGAGTTTTTCTACTAACAATAAGAAAAATATTGTTAAAGGGTGAAGGTAGCCGTATCCCTGTAAAAACAGTAAAAGAGGTTATACGGATTAGATTTTTTCTGCGCGTTTTAGACTCTTTAGGAAGATGTACTTGTATCATTTCGCGCTTGACCAGTGACACAGTAGTTGATACCGGTATGTTCGATCAAACTAGTGTTAGTCAGTCAGTAGTGATATAGGATCAGGTGAAGAAATTGTTATTGCTTTACTCTATGAAATATATTTTTGTAGAGACCTAAGGATTGGAATTGAATGCAGTGTCTCCTATATATGAATCAATCTTGGAAAATGGTCGCATTTAACAATATATTTTGACTTGTGTAAGTAGATGCATATGTTTCTACGGCTTACGAACTAACATAGTACGCACAATTTTGAAATTGTCATTAAAAAATGATTATTATTATAAAGGGTATCTTATATTCGTCTACAAGATTCAGGTGAAGATGACCTCTTGTAGTGGTAATATTAAGAATTGAATATTATCCACTCCATAAAATAAAACAAGCATCGTTTCAACATTCATCGTGATTCAGTAGCATTTCCCTAGGCTGATTCAAAGATAAGTGCCGTATTTTAAATATTTATCGATGATAAACATTAATAAGATGTTTAAAAAACCTGTTCAATTTAACTTTAGAAGATAAGTATGGAGTAACACGAGTCTAAAAACGTAGAAACAATCTATTCTTATTTTGTACAGTTGCCATATGCACGTTATGCGCCATTTATTTAATTGAGTGTATTTGAGATTCATAGTCGTAATGGAATACAAAGTGTCGTAACCGAAAATAAATACGCGTTCCTCGAGTGCTATGTGAAAATAACCACAAATATTCAAGTTATAGCAGCCAGCACTGCCTCGGCAGTACATACAATTTTCACCCACCCAACTCTTTTTAAACTTCCGATTTTTTTTGAAAAATAATAGATTTTATAAGGTCAGTTATATTGGGAGCTTTATAGGACCTATCTGTCCTCTCCGATTCCAAGAGATATAAAAGACGAATACTTTAACAAAAAAAATACTTCAGCCTAAGGTCTGTTTAACTATTTAAATTTTTATTTGTAGCTGACATGTTCACAAGGATAATGCAAGTTGCACGTTGCAGAAATTAAAAATCATTAAGAACTATTTCTTTACTTTGTACAATATAAAAAAATAGACCTGTACAAGTAATAGTGTAAATAAAAATAAATAATATACATTAGCGGGTTTAGCTACTTCTCTGAAAAAAAAAACCATATTAAAACAAAATTACATTTGGCTAGTTAAATTCAATACCTGGATACGAAGAGCGCCATCAAT